TTCCTGGATCGCTGTGTGGAACGGATCGCTGCTTATCGTCACCGCGTGGGCTGAGCTTATCGACCGTTATCGATTGAAAAAATGAATTAAACTTCCGCAATTTTTGCGCAACTTTCGCTGTGACGGTTTTGCAAAGGGGCATGCAAAGGGTTAATGAATATCGATATATCCTTTTTCAGCAGGGGAGCAGTCATAATTGCAGATTCAGTGACCGTCGTGGCGACGGCTCTCAAAAGAAGTAGAGACTGCGTTTGATGCTTTGAATGTCACATGATGGTAAGTGATGCTCATTGTGAAGTCCGCAATTACGGCAGGTCCACTCACAGGTAGAGAGGGTTGGAACTATTCAACTATTACAACCCCAAAATCTCAAAATTTTATTTTTCGTCGAAACTTCGCCTATAGGGGTAATTCGATGCCCTGATCACGAAAATGACATTCATTTTTGGCGTTGGCGCCATTTGGCGCCAGGGCAAGGGCTGTTTTCACCAAATTCGCTGTAAACTTGTATACAGGGGTTATTTGGGTCCTGATTACGAATATGACATTCGTTTTTGGCATTTGCACTGTTCAACGCACATTTTCCATTTTCCTGGGCCCTCTCACTTGTACATATTACCTAAGACTAAGCTTAGGAGGAGGGGGACTCCGGGGTGGGTGAACCAGGCACCGTGTGGCAAAAGTTGAAGCGTATGAGATCACAGCGTGAGTGGCTTACTCACCTCGGAGCCTTCTTTCCCAAAGGCTTAGTCCTGATCGCGAGCTAATCAGTGAGAGGGCGCAGACGAGCAGAAAATAGGCGCCAAATGGCGCCAGCGCAAAATGAATGTTATATTCGTAATCAGGACCCCAAATAACCCCTATATACAAGTTTACAGCGAATTTGGTGAAAACAGCCGTGGCGCCAAATGGCGCCAATGGCGCCATGGCGCCAAAAATGAATGTCATTTTCGTAATCAGGGCATCGAATTACCCCTATAGGCAAAGTTTCGACGAAAAATAAAATTTTGAGATTTTGGGGTTGTAATAGTTGAATAGTGCCGAAAGGCAACTACATAAACGCGATGTGTACTTCGTATCTTCTGCGCTATGTTTTCTATTACTCTTTTTTTATAAGTTGAACTATTCTTTCATTTTTCTTCGTAAATCTGATCATTTCCATAATTTTTCTTTATTGAATATTTCTTTTTCGGTTCTACGGCATTATTTTCACCCACCAATGGAAGAATGAATAGAGTACGGCACTCCTGAAGTCCAAATGGTTCTCGGATACATGTAATCGACGAAAGCTTTTCGTTTCCGTCGTTTAGTGGGTATGGAATTTGCGACGATTTCTTCAAGGCGATCTGGATGCAGTACCATGTCGGACTCGTACAGTAATGAGCTGAAAACATGCGATTATTGCTGAATGGATGGGTGACACCTAAAACGTACGCCCTTACGAGATGGGAAGTTCACGATCAGTCGGTGAAGTTCGCAGGTTTGCAACTTCTTGTCTTTTCCATTCTCGCTTCTCCCAAGTCAGTAAAGGATATGCTGTTAAAGGTCGATTTGCATTCAAACTAGTTTCAATCTCTTTACATCAATGAAACAAGAGGCTGCATAGAGGAGCGGAGGTCCCCACCAGCTAGGCAAAAATGCAAAAACAAACCATAGACCCGCCGCTGAGATTAAGACCTTCTCTCTTGTGCAAATCGGCAGTGATACGCAAGGAAAGTCACAGCAAAAAAATGTGACGAAGCGAAAAACAGTACGTCATATCCCGAACGGACAATGCGCAGAGCCGACCGCTAGCTGCGAAACGGATAGGAATGGCAGCAGCTGCAGTTGGAACGCAGTGCCCTTAGCACCTCTTCAGAATCGAGCCATTGTAGGCACCTGCCAGCTTAGACTATTGCTACCCCACTAAGGCAAGGGAGATTTTCTAAACGTTCGGATGGCGACCCGCTTATGCTATAACAGACGAAATTACATGAAAAAGCAAACTTATTTATAATACCTAATACTAGGGGATTGTAGTGTACCTCGAAAGCAGAAGAACATGTAAAAGCGGCCACAACAACCCGAGAAATGGACCCCTCCTTGCCGTTGATTCGGTCACATTGGATAATCGACTCTCATCTTGCGCCTCTTCCAACCCTCTTCAACACTACGCTCTCTCAGCTATCTAATCACTCGCCACGTATTGAACTACGGCGAGTGATCAGATGATCGGTGGGCGGAGATCGCCGGACCCGCCAGCTTTGAGGCATGATAGGTCGCCGAGGTCAAATTTTTCCATGCGAATTGCGCGTCAGTTCGCACCCTCAGGAGGTCCGTGGGTCCCTCAACTAGGTCAGTTTCCCTTTCTTCGACCTTCATTCTAATCGTGAATTCCTCCTTTAAAGCTGCCAATTTGCAGCGATTTTCGTTGTTGAACAAATGTATTCAATGGCTAGGATAGTGTAGCTCACTGAAGTAAACGAGTGTGCTCATTGTCGCAAAGCTGAGTAATATGCGCGCAGTGGCCGCCCACGGATCTTAATCAAGGTGGACCTAGGATGCGACTAATGTGAACTTATGAGAATGACTGGAATTTCACTATAAAAGCTAACTGCATCATTAATGTTCGCTACTGTGTAGATATGCCCCACACACAAATGGCATTGCTTCCTCTACTATAACTGCCGAGCTACTTCCATTCAAATGAGTTACTCAATCACCCAAAACAAGAACGACTGAACCCTTTGGCTTACCTGTATTTTTCATTAAGTTTTTTGATGGAAAATGATGGTTGATCGTACTGTATGACTCTCGAGGCATCCTAAACGATGGCATTTGCAGTAACCGAGCATGATGGCCAACAATATGTGATGATGATTGTGATGAATGAACAATATGTGATGATGTCTGGTGGCGCCTTACAAAAGACGTGGGTCGACCTTCGTATTCGCTTGCGACGATGGCGGACAGTGTGTCAAAAAGTCGCCGATTAGCATTCGGTTGAAGGAGGTCCGTTAACTGAAAAGGATAATTCCAGAACTATATAACAAGTGTTGAAAGATGATCTCGAGAAAGCAGGTCAAAGGCCACTTCCTGAGCATTTAACCTGTTCTCAGAGTAGTAATTGAAGCTCTACTCGTCGATTCCACTGGAAGCATGGAGCGGCGGCTTCACCAATCGCGTGACCGCGCCAACACATGGGTGGCGTGAAATCGCTTTTTGTGATGTCTTTTCTTATAGGGATATTCAAGACAGGACATTCGAAAACCGTTGGTTGATGACTCCAGGACTAAGCCTAGGAAAGGGGGAACGCCATTCAGAACAATGGTTGCTCACGTTCTCCCCCAGAATCACTTCCCTCCCTAAGGCGAAGTCCCAAGTTCAATGAGTGGTTCGCTTGCTTCGATGTCCCTCCCAACGACCCTGAGCGCCCTTTTCTATCTCTGCCATCGTTCATAAAACAAATCACTGCGTTGAAGCAATTTCTGGCCACTTCATGGCAATACATGGGGCGTCGTCTAGGAGCTCACATTGGGACCGTGGGCAGGAATCTAGCGGGCAAGAATGGGATTTGCACCAAAGTACCCTAAAATCTCTCCTGCCTGAGGTTTTTTTTGTCTTATAATAAAAAGAGAATGTATGACGTGATTCACAAGTGTGTTTGCTGATGAATGCCCCCCATGCCTCAGTATCTCGTCATTGCGCGCTCATAGCATTCCATCCACGTCTTCATTCACGAACCACGACACGGCCACCCCTTCTTTCTCTGGGGCGAATTCACTTTAAAGGACTCACGCTCATAATCACTCTTCATGACAGAGATGTGATAAAATAAATTTTTGCTTGCATTTGTTTTTTAGATAGTGGAATAAATGGAAATGGCGGGCCGCATCCACTAAGGTATCCGCGATTGACTTTATTCTTTGAAATCGCGCCTGGGGAGCGGGTCAGTGTGGAAGGGGGCGGGCAAGGTCTCCCGCCTAGCCTTTCGGTGGTGACTTACCAATGTTCTGACTACCAATGTAACTACGGTGTGACCACCGGTGGGCGGGGCGTTCAACACGCTAAAAATATGCAGTGCTTTATGCAGCAAGTCCTAGGTGGGCGGAGTTACCCAGGAAAATTCATAACTTGGTTCCAAGAAGTCCTGGAGAACGGGAAAAAAGTGGATATAGGTCAGCAAAGAAAAGAAGTTAACTGCTACGGTTGGGTGGAGCGTGCGCTAATGTGGGCGGAGTTTGCGCCGAAATTGTAATTCGGCTCCAAGAAGTCCCGGAGGCAGGGAAAAAGGTGGATGGAGGTGGGTGGAGGAGTGGAGCCAGCTGTCATCGGTGGGCGGGGCTTGACCAAAGTGGGCGGAGTTTGCGACGAAAATTCATAACTCGGCTCCAAGAAGTCCAGAGACCGGGAAAAAGGGGTAGAGGTCGGCGAAAGGAAGGGGGCCAAATGCTATTGGTGGGCGGGGCACGCACCGAAGTAGGCGGAGTTTGCCACGAGATTTATTGTCCGGAAGCAGTCCGGAGACCGAGAAAAAGAGGATAATGGTTGACGAAGAAAAAGAGGTTGAAAGCCGTCGATGATGGAGCGGATAGAATTTAGCTAATTCAGATATTCGTAGTGTATCAAGCCAAATTTGAAAATTTTCGTCGCACCATCAAAATTCGCCGCAGATCTGTGTTGTGCGCGCAATGCGTGCGGCGCCAACTGGTAGTGTTATCTTTCCCACAAACAACTTGCACCTCTGGAAAGTTCCTCGAGCAGGGATGAAAAGGGAGCCGTGGAAAATTTGGCAAAAGTTCTTCCACGTTCCGAACTTCCTCTTGGAATATTCTGCATGAAAATATTAGCAATCATATCACATATGTATACAATCCATCTCGCTGAGTGCCTAAGTGATGGTTTTTCTTTTTTCACGAGATATGGAGAACGCGATATCAGTGCCTGCTTATTCACAGCATCAATGTAAACAGAATCATGAATTCTATAATAAATACTCACAAACGAATATTAGTACATTTCTGTTGAAGTACACCTTCAATTGGACCTATGGAAACTTTCTACCTTTGTATTTTGTAGACTTCTTATTCGAATGGTTCAATTGCATAAAATTCAATAATTTTATTCTTATTAACTTTTTATTCTTTCCTCCTGGAGAAGTATTTCGATTGCTTCGTACTCTGTTCACCAATTTTATTTATGTTCTGTGTAAATCAGGATAGCGCACCTGAGCGTGCGATAAATAAATAAACAAAGAAACAAGTTCATGTCTATTCGAATTCATATGGGAAATTGAAGAAATTCGGAATGAAAGTAGAAAAAAGGATATGCGTGGGCCTGCTCCCTGCTTGTCTTTTGAGCTAGTGCGTGGGCAAAACCAGCTTGTCGTAATCGCTGAGTAAAAACGCAAAATGAAGCAATGATGAATGAACAATGATGGTTGCCTGATCAAACGAAGGTTGTAGAATGGATGAATCAATATGCATTCTAAACGTACACCACTATGACACCAGATCTCAAGGTGCGGTAGAATAAAGTACATCTGCAAGAATGCGATGTTTTATATGCTGACAGTTGCTCACGGTTGCGCACGCAGCTGGACCTTTTCTACTGGGCCTATGTAAGGAAAACGGTGAACGAGAGCGCAGGAAAGTACAAACTTGAGCACTTTTCAACCTTTTCTGCCTCACGATCCGAAGAATGGGCTGAGCATTCTCAAAAGTTGGCCGCCGAAGGTAGATTTTGGGTAAAAATAATTTTTTCAAGCGAAAATTCAAAATGCAGCTTAAATTTTCAAAAGTAGGAGGTGGTGGTGAAGGGGAACTGGCCAAGCCTTTTCCACTTCTATTTCATCTATTTCTCATGCAGGTTTTCAAACCCGTTAGGTGGACACGTTAAGGCTCTTACAGCTCCAATTCCACAACTGATCGGACCTTAAGCTCATCAAAGCTTAATTCCTGTCGGTTATGGAATTAGGGCGAACCAGAGACCCTGATTTTGATACTGGGGAAGTGGGAAGCTCCTAAAAAGGACAGAAAATTCATGGGAGACAATCAACCATAGGAGAAATACATATCAGTGCATCATCGTCTTACTTACCGTGAACTCTCCTTCTGGTACAGCTGAAGTGACAGTGAGAAGTAAAGAAAGCGCAGACCAAACCAGGACCATCTCTGGGCCTTTCATCAGTCGTCGGCAGGCGACAGCGCTTTTTCTTCACCGCCCATTCACAGAGCGACGAGTTTTTTCTATGTCTATGTTGTTTGACGAAGCGGCTCGTTGACCACCAGATGGATGGTAACAAAAGCGAATTGCGCAGCTTTAGTGTGAATTATGGCGAAGGAAACCATTTCGGGATCGTTCCCCATGAAGTGCTGGCCTTGAAACGGCTGGTCATCCAGGTCATTACAAGGAACCCGCTTTGGTTACGACTTTTGAACAACGCTTGTGGACGCGTTCTCGGATATTTTTACGCAATTAACCCATGAGTAGATAAGAAAATGTGGGTTCACATTGAGAAAACATTGAGAATTAGCAAGCGTGAAGCGTGCACCGGAGATATGGACGCTTTATCCATAGACAAAACCAAAGAAGGGAGGGTGTGCGAGTGGTACTGCTAAAGTAATAAAGTGATGACGACATCAAGTTGTTGATAGTAAGCGATCATATCAATGAATTATTATGAGTTCAGTAGTAACTAATCTGGATTATTATGTTCTTTTCTTAACTGCCGCTTGAACGCCGCAGCTCGCGTTGTGAATGCTTTGCAAGGGGTGGGACTCGAACTTTTAGGTCTTGCTTACTTGGCAGTCGCGCTCCCACTTACACTAGCGAGGCACTATTTCATCGTAACTCAGCTTTAGATGGTATGTTTACCAGCATTTCTGACGTGATGACCTAGCCAACTGAAGTTAGTTATGATGAGCAGCTTTTTACTAGTTGTCGAGCAATACTTTTCAGTTGAGATACAGTTCTTGTGCAACAAGTAATAAGCAAAATAGAGAATTGTGGAGTGCAAAATGAACAAGTTCTGATGCGCCATGTATCCTCCCTTTCGTAGAGACTACAGCAGCGTTTCGAAGCGTGTCGTTCCATAGTGGGGGCTGATTTCGGCTAATACTCACGATCTAAAATAAGTGGTGTGCCTAATAAAGTGAGACGCGTTTCAAAGAAGGTGCTACGGTCATAAATGAAATTTCGAGCCTTATCTTTACTAAACGTTCCATAAATGGAATGCAAGGAGGACGGGCAAAACACCAGAAAACCAGTCTAGCTAATAACGTGCGAGACAGATTTGATCTGTCCGAGAAGTAGCCTAGAAACCAGTTGCCTGTGATGTCTGATGAAGCCGCGATGCGGAGTCACGTGCAAAGAAGAAATACAATAATACATCTGTAGCAGAGAAGCAAACGATCAAAATTTCCAGCCGGGGATATTTCTGACCTGCCTCCGAGGGGCTCTTCGCCGATGCCATCGTTTTTATGAGTTATTGTTTGGTGACAGTTGGAAGATGTGAACGCCTAGAGCTCATAGGAACATTTGTTCTTCGTCTCGGGCATGTTTTCGTGGTGTTATTCCCGGTGGCCTACATGTGTAGTGACCTTCCTTGCTTTTAACGTTGACAAGCTAGAAGAGTATACTCCACGTGACTTGAAATTGAACTAAATGTTATGTAACACAGAGATCTACCAAAAATTTTTTATTTCAAAAAAGTTCAAAGAGATATTGAGCAGGTTTATAGAACTTTATTTCCAAAAATTGCCAAGGCTTCGAGAAAATTTCTTTGGAATCTCCCCGCTATTTAGGCGGCCTATAAACACTTCGTCAGCATGTATTTGGGCCCACAGTATGACAGCTGCCTTTACGGGAGTGACGCCAGGAGCTGAATCGTGGACCATGATTTAATTGATTTTTGATTGATTGAGCAGGCTTATAGAAACCGAGGAGCTTAGTCTAGTGGTATACTTCTCCTTTAGATGGAGTTAAGGATAATCAAGGTAACGCGTAAAGAGAGAAAAGACACGGATCTGCTTCTTCCGCCCGACTTTTCGTTATCGGGAAATGCTGTACCTTGAGCGAACACGGAGGAGAAGGGTATACAACTACAGCATGATGCAAAGCACACATGAAATGGTAAACGCGTGGTCGAAAAGTTATGAAAATTACAGATTGCTAATTTTTTGGCCACTCAAACAGTTACCACCTACACATAATGAACGCAAAGACGGGGAACACCTGGAATCGCCAAACTTCTAGGCAGTTCTGGCTCTTAGTGTATCGCTCATCAATAAAGACGCCAGCGGAAGGGTAAGCATGAACAGGTCACATTTCTGTGAGGGGTAGCCTCGAGATGGTAATAAAATTAATGATTTGTACGACATCCACTCTTCCGCGACACAATGGTGTTGTTTGCCTTTGCGAATGTCGTGGGTGTGTGTGGTACCCGGCCTCCGGGTGTGATATACGTTTGGAGAAATCTCTTCATTAAAAGTGTAGCTTGTGTGTTGTTGGGGTTGTTGGTGATTCTAAAAAGTCTACGCTATGCAAACATAGAGGGTTCTGAAGTATTAGGTTGATCGTTTAAAATTCCAAATTCGATAGTGAAGAAAACCACCTTCACAAAGCAGTGTGAGTGTCTGTGCACCGGCACCGCGCCCGTGTGTGTGCGCTACGAGTGTGATTAATGAAAGCGGGAATGATGTTAACAGGTCAGTTTGCGAATTTGATTCCATTGAGACGCGTTCGACATTTCAGTTCCGAGCTTGGTTGCTCCAGCTAAAAAATAATCCCCGCCGATGACATGTGTTTCTGTTTTCTTGCATGCATGATTCCCTGCTGTGACGATGGCCAGCTTCCGATTTCAAACTTGGGCACAGAGCACAGTTGCTCCATCATAAAATTTTAATCAGATAAGTTCGAGGTAATAACGCGTCTTTCAAGTTACAGCAATTGGTAAGAAGACATATTCTAGACTGGTTTAAAGGAATCCTTCCCGGAAAATCATGATTCTATCTCACCCATAAATCACTGGCTTGAGACCCATCGTTCACGATAAGAACGAAAAGAACAAAAAATTGCATTTGTTTTGGTAAAATTCGAAAAACCGGAAGGACTGCTACGCGTTCAAATTCCCGCCGGACATCTGTCACAAATGCTGGCGGCGGGAACGCTTCCACTTGGTTCACGGAGTGCTGTCACTCTTTTTGACCTTTTGACTTATTGCACTGACATCTCACACTTCTACTGCATCATATTCTATCGATGTTTTGTCTCTATTCTCCAAAATCGAGCGCTTTAACCGATTCTTTCATTGCGTCGCCTGATACGTGGCCGCCCCAAGGTGCATCTTTCCATGCCCCGCCTTGGCGCGCGCGATTACCTTCGATTGTCCATGGAGTGTGGTTTTTGTAAGTTTGTTTCTCTTCGGAAACTGAATCTTCGTGCGTGAAACTTGTATGTTGTCCCTAGTGATCACAACTGACATATTCATGTCGGGAAAGAATGCAAGAAGTTCCGCGAAGGATTCCTTTAGTAGCAATTTTCAAATCTCACGAGACGATTACATTTAACCCTTCGCCTACTGGTGGTGCACATGTGTACCACTCTCGTGGTCAAAGTTACTCCCACAGTTTTGGCACTTATTGAAATCGGAGGGGCATTGATATTGGTATTGAAAATACAAGTCGGACCGAGTTACTCTGGAATAAGTTGATAAGCAAGTCGTTCCACAGGTCACTGGGCAGTGTGCACAGCTCCCGAAAAGGTAGTTTTCGAGTCTCACACTCTTTGTATTGTGTTAATGGTTCTAATATTTCCCTCAATTATTATGAAACAGGTGAAACATAAGCAAACCGATGACGGATGGAGGATATTTTATCGGCCGCAAGTGAGAGGACGCGGCGTTACTACGACTGCGTTGGAAATTCCAACCTCCGGAGTTTTGTCAGTTCGTTTGATGCGGAAGTGGTAGTAGAACACTCCTATGATGACGCAGCTTTCGAGCATAAAAACCAGCGAAAATTCGTTAGAGGAGAAGCAGCCGGTGGGCGCAGCCTGTAGGCAGGGGAGCAGCACTTCTACAAAGTGCGGCTTGCAATTCTTTTCAAGTGCGTTCCCAACCGGACATTGCCTTGTTCCACGAATGAGATGTGATAAATGTGTATTTGTTGAATAGTATTTGAAACTG